AAATGTATAACGCTTTTCAAATATTTATTTAAATGTTTGTGATCTTGATTTATGAACACATTAAACAGTTACAGTACCTTTACAAGATTACAATTTGAAAATCAGAAACTAAGGTTTTACAATGGTTGAGATTAAGAAGCACTATTGTCCATTTTGCTATCTCAACAACAGGTTTGGCTAGTTACTGTACTCTTTATATTACAACAGGCCCCATCTATACCCATAATTGATCTTAACAGATTATGTAGAGTGCAGATGGCAGGCACACAAATGATTCATAAGTATTTTGTATAAGGCTTCTCACATATTTACATTTCCAAAATACTTGTATAAATTACACTAGAACTATACTGTAGCTTACTACAATTATCTTGTTCAGGATCCATTGTTCTAGTGTCCACTTTTATCAAGTGTTATAACACTATTAAATCCTCCTTCTATACATCTACAAATCCGATTAATTTATAATGTTTGCACATTTTTGTTCTATTAAATATACAAGTAAATGTACTGAAATAGCAGAAAGTTCAAAAGAAATGTCTTTCACAAAAATAATTGTCAGAAAGCCAAAGCCTGAGGTTCATTACAATTTTTTTCTTTTTAGTTTTTAGTTGCATTGCAGCCAGCCCTTCATACACATACACAAAATGATAATACAAAACAATCATTGTAAATTTCATATCCGTTTTTTTGCACGAACTGAGTGGTATTCTACTTCCAAGTTGGGAACACATCAAAAAACCTTAACAAATGTACTTAATAATATAAATCATATAGTTTCACATTTGTTTGTGAACCTCAATACATGTCCAGGTGAAAACAGGGGAAAGGTCCAGCTTATTTGATATCACATACTACTGTTATACAATGTAATTCTCTGTAAACAATTCTTGGTTCACATACATTTCATGCATTCAAGAGAATACAGTAAATAGTGACAAACAGCTACTTTGGGATGGGCTGTTACTGTAAGTTAAGAACATAGATAACCAGAATTTTTTCCAAATAAATTTTTGTTTCCATTTTTCACAGGGGACAAAAAGCCTCTCCGCAAAATTGCCTTATTCTTATTAATGTAAGTGTAATGACCACAAGAATAAATGAAATTCATCTTCTTACAAAAGAGTAATAATCATGATTAAAACAGAATTTGATGCTTTAAACATGTGATTTTTCACAGAAAATACTCATCCTTAAATCAAACATGGAGAGGTCTTTTAGGTACTTCAAAAATGTAGTCAAACTCTGTGGTTCAATGCAGAAAACAATGTAAAAATATCTTGATCTAACATTAAGCTTTTGGAATAGAGTCCACATTTTGTTGTCGAGTGTGTCAATATTCATAATTGCCGATCTTGGGGTTTAAAGATCCATGACTTTTCAAAAGAACTTTTTCACTTTTGCATTTTAAATTTTACTTCTTCCAAACAAAGCTTCCACAGATTTGAAAGAATGTTTGAACTAACAAGGATTTCTGAGATTAGGTACAATATTTAAAACAATAAAAACTGCAGTATTAACA